GACACAGCGATCTCACAAACAGCAACAGCAACAACAGCAGCAGCAGCAGCAAGAGCATGAGAATCAGCAGCAGCGTCGACAGCGGCAACATGCAGTCAGCGAAAGCCGACCGCCACGACCGACCACGGCACTGACGTCAACGTCTTCAACCCCGCCATATCCATCTTTTGGCGCCATGACCAGCGCCGAGTTGATGCCGGCACAACAGACGTACCCTTTCGTAACGCCAACGGACAGCGGTGAACAAGACTGGCCCGACTTTCTGACAGCCCTCATGGAACCGTATACTTCCACGGAGTTGGATAGCGTAGGCGTCTCGCTCGACACGTTCACATACGTCGAGGACTCGGCTCTCAACCTCTCACCACCACTTTCAAGACTTGCCCAAAGCCACACATCGGATCGGACTAGAGTGCAAGCTGCCCAGCATGCTAGCTCTGTTTCTGGATCCGTTACAAGTTCGAGTGACTTCATGCCCGGCTCACTGGCCAGAACCCACGGTAGCAACACAGATGAGACGACTTTCTTCCCAGCGAGCCCTCAGATTGCATCAGGGGAAGCCTACTCAAATTCAGATCACACCCACGCACATCACTGTAGCCCTAGCCGTACGGGCTCCTCTGCCAGTCGACCAACCCGCCGCTGTCAGTGCCTCATGCGGTTGCTTAACTTCATGGCTCAGCTGTCGATAGAACCGTCCCAAGCGTGGGACGCTGCCCCCGATGGCGAACCTTCGACACTCAATACTCACTCAACAAGCCTCGAGCTCGTTAGCAAAAGGATCAGAAATATAAGTGACGGGCTCGACAAGATCTTGCAGTGTCCTTGCTCTCATGACACTTTGCTGCTCTTGATCGTCATACTTAAGATCCAAGTCTGCTACATCGACGCCGTGAACGCCATTACAAGCGAGGATGACGGCGGCGGCGTCAAAAACTTCCGGTTCAAGCTTGCTCCGCAGTCTTCGTGGAATGATGCACCTGATGAAGATGACGATGACGACGACGATGGCGAACACTCCGGGGATGAAGACCAGCGGCGCATCTTCATTCAATATGTACTTTCGAGACTAGCAGGTCTGAGGACTCTGATCATTCGACTATCGGAGCGGCTTGTCGAGCCCAAGACCTTTCCGAGCGAAGCACGCCGGCCAACAGTGCCGCAAGGCCCTCCGTACTACTCGGTGGTTGAGGGCAAGATTGAGATCACGCCGTTATCTGCGTCGTCGTTGTGCACCTTGGCGTCGGATTTACACAATCGGTTGAAGGGAATGTCACAGGCTATCTCAGAGAAGCTGCGAGAAGTATAACGAAAAGGAGAGATAGAAGTAGATAAGAAACGATGAAATGATATCAAGAGGTCGACTACTAGATTATAATGCTAAGTCTCACTTTACAACTCGTGGGTCGGATTCCTACAGTTACTCATGCCAGGGCCGGATCAGGATTAAGCGTTGCCTTTTTTTCCGTCCCTGAAATCCACATCAGAGATTGCTGAACTGCAAACCAGAGATATGTTTATTGAATGATGACTGATGCTGTGTGTGTCTCACTAGTGGTTTCCCTAAACATAAATAACTTTGCCAGTTTATACTTGATATGATGCACTAGAATCGAACGTTAAATCACCCGGTATATCTAACGTTTGCTGGCTTTTATATTTAACAAAATAGCCAGTATTGCGTCTCTGGAATCAAATTATGAAGACAGTCGTGATCAAACTACATGCTTCACAACCAGATTTCACGATTCTATCTTTCGATCGTATTGATTCTTCCGTATAAATTTCGTTGGATGCTAAGGCAAGTCAACTCAGCCGGCCAACATTCCAGAAGGTTTAGTCGTCGCTTATTCAGCTTGTGACCTCGGTCTCATAATCACCGAGATCCACTCTCGCTCGGGCGAGCCCCTTTCACTATTGCCTATTTCCAAAGGCCCAAGAGACAGCCGTTCACAGCATATCTCGATGCCCGCATCGTGAACATGCCACCACCTCGCTCGCATTCCCGTATGCGGATCCGCGGTGAGGAGCAGCTCTCGTGAGTTGCCTCCTCGTTGGCGCTAGAGACGCAGGCTTTCAATCGAGCCCTAGTAATAACGGCTGACCTTCCTTGTTAGACAAACTTCGTCGTTGGGAGGGGGTCCCGGGTAGTGTAGCCGGTGACAGCGCGTCACAGCGCGGCACTAACTTCTCTGTGACTCGTCTACACTAGTCGTACGTCTCGCATGGGTTCTGAACTTCTGTCTGGGTCATTGGGGCATCGCTGTGGGGGCGGCGGGGTTCAGCTGTGTGGGTGGTCGTGGGTATCTTGGTGCGTTGCGAGCGGCCAACAGCCCAACCCCAAAACCTTTCTGTATTCCCGTGGGGCAAAGTCGGCCGCTGCCGCGCTCCATCAAGCACAGATGCCTTGGGATACTGATCGATCGCTGGAGGTAAGGCTCATCAGAGAGACAAGGGCAGAGGTTATCTCAGACCTCAGACCTCAGACCTCAGACGTCTGCTTCGGAATGGGCTCACCGAGGTGTGGAGAAAGTACGTACCGCACCGCCACAATGACCAATTTCCACATTTCTACAAGTCAACTCGAAAAGATGAACTGCCGCGCCACAGCGACGCGACCCACCGACCTGCCAAACAGCTGCGACCGCCTGGTCTATATAAATCGCCTACACAATGAGATAATAAGGCAGAAGAGACAAACCACATTAGGTGCAAGGCAACCTTCAGGTGTACGATTCTCCATACTGCCTGCTCTTGCGTCTGCATCTGTGCGACCGCCCTTATCGGCCTAGAAAAATCACCCGGGTCTGCTTGACGAGTCCTGAACGCCTCGTAGCCCTCTCATGTTAGGGGCGTTTGGCGCTCCTTGTTGGCTGGAGCAGCTCTGCGAAGCTTCAATGATACGACGTGGTGTGCCAAGCCGAACTTTTCGAGTGGGAATTGTAATGGAATTCAGATGGTTGCAGGGACCTCGGACGAGTCGGGATGCGCGATACTATTGAATGAGTCGAAAAAAAGGCGAGGAGTTGAGTGCTCCTAGAGAAGGATCTACCTGCTTTGATTTGCACTGCATGATGTCGACCAAATGCATCGCACTCGCACCCAATAGAATGCGGTGCGTCCTGTCTCTTGCTCTAGCTTGAGCTGTGGCTTCATGTATGCTGGCCGCCTAAATAGTCCTTCGGCTGCTCTGCTTTCTGCTAACGGCTCTCTGACTTCTCGAAGTCGCCGAGGCAGACGAAGTCCAAACTAACGATAGTGGAGAGCGAAGGCGCTCTCTGCTGTATCTGCTTGTATCATAACGCTATTCGAGTTGAAGCCGTAAAGGTAGCCCATGTAGATGAAGCGACTGCGAGTCTTTCTGCCTAGGATACCGACTTGTCTTTCGGACTTGTGTCAGGCTCTGCCCCGGAAGCTATCCTTGAGCATTGCTATTGAGAGCTGCTTAATTCCACAAGAGGAAGTGAGTGAGGGCCATCATGGAGGACTTGGAGATTGGTCATCAAGTGTGCGCAGCTATAGGCTGGAGTCAGAGAGCATTCGTTCGTAGTCTCTCCGTCCACTAGGAAGAAGCCGTGGGAAACCAGCCATTCTTAGAGCCGCCATCCATAGCCATCTTAGGACATTGTGCTAGATCATTTAGATTCATATGAAACGCGACGGAATTTTAAGATCACTGGGGGCCATCAATGACATGGGATTAGTTTTGATGAAGTACATGTTTCCGAAGCCTTCTAGGTTGACTCATCCGGAAGCCAGCTTTCTCGCGTTCTCGCCAAGCTATGAATCCAGACTTCAAGACCACTGAGATAGCAAGCAGACCTGTCGTCGTGACCCACAGTTGTTGCTTTCCGCATATTCGAAGTGACACTGTCATACTGGCCATAGGCATCCGCGGCAGTGGCGCATCACTTTCCGAAGCCACGAAGCCTTGGTACATGGAGCTGAGGTCAGTTGCGGAGTGATAATCGAACCAAGATAATGCTGTAGGAGGATAGAAGGTCGAAGCGACTGAGTGGGGGACCGAATACCTTGTCGCGGAAGACAGGCAGTCTACCTCCAGTTCAGCTTCTGGCTTCCCTACAGCATTCACTACTTCACTATTCGGTGGATCGCCTGTGTGTCATTTACTTCCATATATGAACATAACTAGAAGATACCGCGAGGCGCCAGGCTCTGTTTGTCTCGCCGAGACGCCACCAAAGACGTTCGACACGAGCATCAAGGGAGGTTCGGTCGGGTGATGGGTTCTCAACATAATGAAGAGCCGAAGCCAAAGTATCTACTCGGCAACTATGTTGCCAGCCTGCTCAGTCCTTGCCGCCAGGGGGCGTCAGCATTGAACGAGGGCCGCCAAGCCAAGTCAGATCATGGACACCATCTTCACCTCTAGGTTCACGGATGGCGATCCTAACTGTCGCGAAGATTCGACGGCAGTATGAACAACACCTTGTATTTCGAAGCAAAAGCTTGGCAGCTTCTGTCATTTGATCATGGCGCCACTACGAGGTCTCGCAGCCGAGATATCCATGCTTCCAGTACGGTGAGACTGGGTTTGCTATGTCACCCCACCCCCGCTACGCTTCCAGGCCAGAAAAGAGTCACAAGAACAAATGAGGGGACGCCACTCCACTACAAAAGGAACGTCAAAGGTTTAACCTCATGAATAATCAATCAGAGCTACTCTAGAATTATGCTCTAACCAAAACGAACCAGAACGATCCCGTATTCAGTCGCGTACCGCGACACAATCCCACCAGAAGATCCACAACCCTTACTTCTCAATCCTTTTATTCAGTGTCACCCAATGCCCCCTCACACTCCTCAACGTGAACGATCATCGCCCGCAGAGAGCTCTTATCCCGACATGCCTCAAAGTCCGCCAAGGTCCCCCGCAGTCTGCGCCGTTTGTCGCACCAGTAGTCCCGATCGTCCGATGCCGTGCGCTTCTTGCTTACTTCCGAGACCATTTTGTTCTCAAGGAGTGCTGCGACGTTTCCCAACCTCTCTTGAGCTTCCTAGGCCGCAGAGGAAAGCTGATTGTTGGAGGACGCCGATGCCTCAATGGCCTCGAGGCGATTCATCATGTCGTCTTTGATGTTTGTGATCGCTGTGCCAGCCTCGGCCGCTGCTTCTGTCGCAGCAGCTTGTCTGCCCTGCAATTCGACATCTGTCTCTATCGCATCCTTGACGGCATGATACCCGTTACGCAGAAAGTCTTGAAACGCTTTAACCTGGTCGTCTGTCGACAGGTCTTTGCCTCCAACGGCCTCTGAGGTGTTCTTCGTTTTGGCCAAGTCGCCCAGGCCGTCCTCTGCGATTTGTCGGCATTCCTGGAAGTCTGGTGTGGGATGATCTGCGACGATATCGTTACCCAATGGGCCGATTGCCTCATGTTCTCCCATATTGCTTCCATCTTCATCGTTACTCAAATCGAAATCATTGTTGCTGAGAGATATCCCACCGATACCACTGTCTTGAGGGGAATGACCACGATTTGCTGCAGTTTTCGTGCCCTGTTTCTGCACTGCTTGTCCAGACAGGCTTCCGACATCTTTCAGAGATGCGACGCCCTCAGGCCGTTGCCTTTCTCCACCCTTGGAAGTATCTTGATCTTGGGGACCTCGAGGGTCTTCCTCGGCTTCATTGGAGGACACTGGGGCAGGGCTCGTGCGGGTGTTGGCTTCGGAAGTCTCTTCGAATTCCTGAACGTCAATAGTACTTGGGTTGGCAAGAACTGGCTTTCTCATAGCCTGGCTACCAGCTTGATTTGATGAGCTGGCCATGTTGCGCGATACTAGAGCAAGTCAGCAACAAGGGACTAACGCAGGTTAGGCGTGTCAGTACTGACGTTGCTTTTTTGCTTCTGAAATTTCTCGTGGCTGGATTTCTCGCAGCAGGTAGTGTTGAATCTTGCCTTTGGCGTCCTTCTGGCGGTTTTCAATTACCTTGTCGAACAAGGCTTCTGCAGACGTGCCGATCGCTGCGAAACCCTTCTACGAATCTCGGGAGCTGACGACTCGTATGCCAAACCACAGGTATAGGTCAAGAGGATTGGCGAGGCCCAGATGTGCCGCTGCTGTCTTCCGGTAGGTCTGTTCCTGACTGGTCTTCCCGAGGTGCGCCCAGTGGCTCCCGAATTTGGCCAAAAGTACCGAGTCGAGATCCTGGCTGGAGATTTTCGTTTTGATCCACGCTGCGAAGGGCCTTTGTCGTCTCGTCTTTGGCAGCTTTTGGTCGTATGTCCGGAATCCGTCAACAAGATTATCGTATGCGGAAGCGGTACGCTCGCGACCTTCGCCAACAACCAGTCGGAGAGAAGAAAGCAGATGGTCGAGGGTATGGTTGTTTACTTGCGCCGAGGACCGCGGCATCACTCAGGTGAACGTGCTGTACCAATGGTGGTTGATCTTTGACACGGTGAGGACGAGGTTATGGTGGTGGAGTTGAGGTGAAGCCTTGTGTCACGGTCGACAGGCTGAGGAGGAGAAAGGAAACGCGCGCGTCTGTTTCTTTCAGCGCTTAGTGGCTCAGTCGAATTGTCAGCGGTTGGTTAATGTGTAAATGGAAAGGAGGGAGTGAGGAAGGGAGGAAGGGAGGGTGCGCGTTGATAATATTGAAGTGGAATATTGAAGCAGGCAGTAGCCCGAGGATGGTACCTACCCAATTTGAGCACAACTGCATCTGAATGCACTTCCATGCACAAAGTGAGAAGTCACAACCCACAGATCCACTTCCCAAATGTAAGGTACGAATACCCATATTAACCCAGTACCGCAGGGAAAGTCCTTGCCCGCGAGCCTGCCGCAAAGGGAGGTCTGGGATAAGCGCCCCGAGATAAGCGCCTGCCTGGTACCGCGGAACCCACACTAGTTTGCAGCAGTCAATCAAATCAATGTGCTCGGGTACCTGAGTATCAAAACGAAGCAACGAGGTCGAAAAATGTTGGAAAGAAAATGAATGTGTTCGTTGAAATATTCCACATTCGTGAGAATTTCCTTGGAATTCTTGAACACCAGACGTGGGAAGAAAAGGAGATGTTCTAGTGGAAATGGCTCTTATTCACGCTGGCATCCCACCCAAATGTCAGCGAGAGGTACATGAGCACGGACGTATGCCCCGTGGGTAGTGCGCAGTGGAGCAGGAACCACTCAACTCACCTTACCCACCCCACACCTTCTTGTGCGCCATCTGCAACCTCCACATCGTACCTACCTTATTTGTGTCGCGTCCATCGCATTGGAGGCGCCCGCAGCCGAAGGAACCTGTGCCAGCTGCCTTTGACCGCCCACTCAACAGCCTCCGCCGTCGTGTCCGTTGCTGCACAAAACTCCCATCGAAGTGCCGGAACATTAACCAACTTCCTTCTACCGTACGAGGCACGGGTGCCTGCTTACCTTACTGCGCTGAGCCCTTCCTTAGATGGCCCGTCTCTCCTCCGACGACGTGGAGAGGGGCGCAGAGCATTTCCGCAGGGCCCATACCTCTTGAAGAGTCGAACTATACAGTCTTTCCAAGAATGCCGGCTTCTGAGGAGATAGGTATTACACAGGTAAATCCTCCCACAGCAGAGGCTCAAGACGGTCGTATCACCACCTTCTCCCATCGTAACATCTTCTCGCCCAACCCAGCCAAAAGCTCTTGCAACCGCTAACCGCTAACCGCATCAGCAGAGCCACATCCATCCCGACCTCCAAGTCAAAACCCATTGCACTCAGCTTTCCAACTGCATAAAGCACGATTGTCGCCACAAGCTCCTTGGCAGTAGCACAACTCTCCGTTGTTTGCAACACTATTACCCCGTCGTCACACGCCGCTAGCTGTCCAAAAACCTCGCAACAGTTTGTGTTCAGCCCGATCCGATCAGCATTTCCAACAAAGCCGCCAACTGAGTTCATCACGTTGACAAATGGGACGCGAAGCAAGGTGGACTTTCAGGCTTGCCGCCTCGATTCCGTTGGAAACAATAGGCTGAGGACCTTTGCTCTTGGTGCGGCATGCCTCGGATTCGGTCGGGGCAATTACTGAAATGATACCAATGACCTACCTTCAGTATCCTCTCTGCCTTACTGTGGTCAAAGTAAGGCGGCTTCAAGCAACTCTTGCGGCCAATTGAACCGGACGTCACGCAGCAACCACAGTCAACCTCATACTTTGCCGCCAGCCCAGGGCGCGCCATTCCTTACGCAAGTATTGTCGGTTCATTTTCCAATGTAGGACTTCCACACCTCATCTTTGCCAACTGGCATGCGACCGGGCTCGTACCCTGATGACTGACGGTCCATAGTCTAGGTTGCGTCGTGGCGTCGCTGTCCTTGGCTCCTTGAGCTCCCTACCGATTCCCATCGTTCCCGAAATGCGGATTCGCCCGCACAGATGATCACCCCCGGCAACGGTCCCAATAGGAACGGCCGCTTCATCCTCTTCACTCTACGATGGATCAATCGCAACACCCTCGCTTTTAACCTTGACGGGACCCTGCCCGATACCCTCGCCAGTCTCACCGACCGCATCTTAACGAAGTTAGCTACCGCACCTGCTCGCAGAGACCAGAACCAGAGGTTCAAAATGCAGTGATTGCTGCGCGTCTCTGATCACCTATTACTCGACAGTCTCGGCAGTGAGTCCATTGTACCCCAGTGCACAGCAAGGTCCAAGTTGGTGGGACTGATCCTTGCCATCCAAGTGCCCGTTTCTGCATAACGCTTCAACACCAATAACCCCCCTGACATTTTCACCATCTCCATGCATGCCCCCAACGCGTGATGATGCAACCTGACTCAAACCAGAGTACACTATACCGCGAGTCCGTACAAAGATCTAGATTTCAGGGTTCATCAGAGCTTTCCTTGACGTCGCGGCCGCATGCCCCTCCCGCTCACAGGGAGCACAGAATCCTCACATGCGCCGGCGTCCCCTCCTGCAACTGCACCACAACTGCAGAAATGGCATACCTCCTCGACAGCCAGCAGCGGTCATATCACCCCATTTGCCCACAGTTGCTTCTTCACCATGGCGGGAGCACTCGGAATCCGATTCGATTCTCAGGCCTGAGGCCGCGCGTGGTTGACAAGATTCGTTTCCATGCCTGACAGTCCGCACGCGCCCTGGTGCATGCAACACAAAGAATTTCAGGTCAGTTTGTCATTCATGTTCGCCCCTTCTTAAGCGCATGAAGCTCCAGCTTACTTTGTGAGCAGCAGGGACAAGCCAGCCTTTGTGCGAACTCGTAGCAAGCAATGAGCCATCTACCAAGGCTCCCTACATCCCAACACACGACGCAAAGTTGCGGCTTGGCGACCCACACTCCACGGTTCTTCGAGACCGGTTTCGTCAGCAGACATCTACAAAGCTTGCTCCAGAAGTCTGTCGCAGCCATCGAACGATTCCGGCGATGGCCTTTCCAATCTACCATCCGAGTTCCCTCACCCTACGACAATGTCCCTGCCAGCCTCGTCCATTTGCATCTTCAACACCACCAGCACGAACGCGAAAGCGAACGCGAACGCAGACTGCAAGACAACCATGTCGATCGAGCTACCGAAAAGTACGAATCAATCCCAACATGATACCGGGGTGTGGGCTACACTCTTGAAGCAGCGAAACTTCACTCGGGACACATTCATGACGGTAGAGGTCTAGCGCAACACAGGAGCCGTGAATGAGAGAAGGATCCGAGCCCACTTGTCTAGAGTGCAAGTCCCGAGTCCATCCGTACACCTCGGCACCCTCATAACGATATGGGGCGTCATCACGACCTGCGACGTCGTTAAGAACTTTGCCGGCCTTCTCAGCGACCGTTTGCTTCTGGGTGTCTTTGAAGCCGGCTTCCTACTCTGGTGCCGTCTACTTCTGTACCTTTTGGTACTTGCCGTGAGTACTTCCACTACCTCTCCCTCAAGAGAATGAAGTACGTTGTTGACTGCACATTCGGCCAGGATCGCTCTTGCGTCGGGGGACTACATTATCCGCAATGTCCAAAGCCACAAGGTATCGCTGGTTGGAAGCACGCACAAGCAAAGACCACTAGCAAAGACTTTTTCCTCTCACAATCTCGCGGGAAACGATGCCCTCGATCTGAATTTCCTTTCTTCAACCCCAGCGCCCCATCCGACCAATCCTCGTTGCATAGGCATGCTTCCATACTGCACAGTCACATCTTGTTCACGCAGAAGCCGGTTTTGAGTGGATATCCATTCATGCCATCTCCCAGCTAACGGCCCTGGGTTCCCCAAGAGGTCGGCAGCCACTGGCTCCAGGTTGGTCTCTATCGACATCCGCAACACTCTTTCGTTATCCCAGACAGCCCCCATAGGCATCGCGGCGTATACAATTACCCTATACCCACAGAGCGATAGGTTTCTCAGCACGCATGAGTGGCACCAGTTCTTGATTTGCTCTCCAAGTGAAGGTGACGCCAAGTCAGAGTACTTTCGAGGAAGAATCACCGCCAATTTCGTACTGATGGATGCTGATTCTGGGCAGTTTCTGCCGGCTGAAGGGCTCACACTGGCCAGATTGGCAGAACCAGACGACATGGTAGCCAGCATACGTCTCGTAGTCATTTGCCATGGTCCCATCGTTCGAAATGTGAATTTCATCCTCCCGTCAGACTTCGTTGTGTCAATAGATTCCTCGTGACTGGAATGGCGTCCGTCATGTCCCTCTTCTTCCAGGGCAGGCATATTCTGCAATTGATAAACGGCCCTTCAGATACTTCTACAGGCCGCATACACAGCTCTTCCTGACGCCAGTGTCCACTAGTAGTACATCATGTTTCTCAGGT